CGGATCGGTTAAAAAATCGGAAATCGTCCGGTTCTAAAGAGAACCGGACGATTCCGCACAGTGACTCGCCGATTCACTGTGCGGAATCGGCGATTCCGTGAAGAACACGGGTTGCACAGTGTTCTTCACTGGATTCTTTGAAATTTATCATTTTTTTATCATTTTTCTTGTTTTTTTTGGCATGTGATCTGATTTGCAGGCTGTAAACAGCTTTATTCAGCTTTTTCAAGGATTAAATGGTGGAAAAATTTGTTGTTTTTGGATCACGAAAAATTCGGTGTTTAGGGTTTCTGCCTTTTCTGAAATTTCATGCCAAATAGGGCATGAATCTTTCAAAATTAGTAGGCATTTTGATCTTAAAGCTGTGAATCAAAACCTTTTGTTACTAATTTGTGATAATCGTTGAGAAAAACAGAGTTTTTTGGAGATTGAAGGCTTCGGTTCACAAAATCAGGTAAGAACTTTGGGTTTTTTTTTTTTCCGCCATTTGATTTATTTCACGGCATATTTTGAACATAATTAGGGTTTTTAATCTTTATTGTGTCTAGTATGATTTAAAATTTTCAATTTTACGTAATCTGGTCAATTACAGCAAGAAATTTGATATGAACACTGAGATGTTTGCGGAACCAAATTCCGCTGTTTTTTTTTTTTTTTCTGCCTTTTGATTTTGTTTTCATGATATATTAGAAATAATGTGTTAAAAATTTAGGGTTTTGATTCCTTATATTGTTGTCAGAAAATATACTCAATTGGATGTAATTTATTCACTTAGAGGTGAATTTTTGAGTTAAAATCGCTTATGTAAAACGACTTTGTGAAGAACATTATTTTTTTTTTTTTTTTTTTTTTTTTATGTAGCCCATGATAGAATTTTTTGTAATCCATGATCGAATTTTTGTAATCCATGATCGAAATTGTTTGTTTTTTTTTTCTTGTAATCCATGATCGTAATTTTATTTTTTATTTTTTATTTTTATTTGTTAACCATGTATTAGAATTTTTGTAATCCATGTATCGTAATGTTTGTAATCCATGATCGTAAATTGTTTGTTTTTTTTGTTAATCCATTGATTCGTAATTTTTAGTTTTTTGTTTTTTATTATACCCATGTATAGTAGTTTTTGTTAATCCATGTATTGTAATTTTT